TTGCAGGAGCAGACTGATGAAGATGGTTCGCTTGAGTGGTGATCTCCGTTGGGCCCCAGCTTACGATAGGGCACGGCCAACGACCTCCCACCTGTCGTGGCGACCCCCGCCCGAAACCCTCACGGGCCTCGCTGTGACCTCCGGGGACCTCTCGGGGAGAGTTAGGCGAACATACGCTTATCCCGCACGGGATATCACCATGCATGCCACGCCAACTCTCCTGGTTGACGTGGTGGGGAAGGGAGGTCTCGTTCGGACAGTCCACTTGCGTGGAGGCCTCGGGGCCCCGCCATGCGCATGCCGGCTCGAGCGCGTACTTGGCTGGTGGCGGCGGCACGTAGTTCCGCTCGGCATGAAGAGCTTCCTCGATGAGGCGGGCGCCCCGGCCTAGCTCTTCAAGGGTCTCAAAGGTGCGGTTGATCAGGTAGACGTGGTACCTGGGGTGACACTGTCTTCTGACCCGAGCTACTCTGTCCGACTCCGGTGACTTCGGGTCCGCCCTCTTGAAGAGCTCTTGCATGACCCGAACGTACCGGACCAGACTTTCATCCGGGTGCTGCGTCCTTGCCTCGAGCTCTCGGAGAATCTGCGTCGCGTCGCGTAGCCTGCAGGCAGGAACTCTTCTCGAAGCCTTGTCTGGAAGTCCGCCAGGCTGGTGAAGGGGGTCTGTGACCCCAACCAGCACCTGGCGCTGGCTTGTAACGCCAGCGGGACAATCCGGTCCACGATGAAGGCTTCTGAGGCACCGGAGGCAAGGTGGTACGTCTGCAGCTCGCCCAGGAAGCCTGCCACGGACTTGACGTCGTCGTACCCCATGTAGACCGGAACAGTCAAGTGTGGTCTGGGCTCTCGCGGTGGGGTCTCCTGCTGGCCAGGCGTGTGGGCCAGGCGCTGCATCACGGAGTCGCACATCTCCGTGACCTTCGTGAGCAGGTTCATTTGTGCTGCTGCGGCCATCGCGGCTTCCTGCTCCCGCGTGAGCATTCCTGCAAGCACAAAAAAAAAAAGAAACGCCCCCAAAAACCCAACACAAGCGCGCAAAACGATTGCCGCGTTCACAAAGACGCGGTCACAAACACGCCAATACAACAAACGTGGACGTGACGGAAGCACGAAACAACGATAGGAAACACGGGGAATATGAAAAAGGCTTACCGAAAGAAGAAACCAAGCCCCGTGAAATTCCTGCGAGTGGGTAGCATACCACGGTTGGGCGCCATTGTGGTCAGTTTGCCTTGCTGCATACCCGACCCGGAGGAATAACACGGAGCCAACGGTTTCAACAACAAGAAACTACATTTAATAAGACAAAGACAATCACAATACTAACATGATTACTTCAGCTCGGCGGAAATCGGCCGACTGCCATCGCGCCGCTCCTGTCTCGCCTAATATAGGCGAGCGGCACGACGCGCGCGTGGCCGGCTGCTTGCCGCCACCTTGCGGCCGAATGATGGCCGCGGTATTTTGGGTACCGGGCAACCGTGTGCCCCCGCAAACTAAACTAAATCAGAACCAGATGCCGGAGTTTCAGAACAAATCGTTATTTTTTTTGGTAATTATAAACGATTAAAAAAAATTACATGTAACAATAGGGTGGTCGACGAAGGACAGGAATACAAGAAACAGGCCCCATTTCTCTACATTTGGACGAAAACGGAGGGCTCGACAACGCGTGGTATATTTTTTCCGGTCAACAAACCGCCGTCATTTGTCTTCGGGGACACTTTGTACTCCAACTCACAAGGAGGCTTCAGCCCTGCCAGCTGTGCTGGCGTGAGTGCGTGGCTCTAGGTTTGGCTTGTGTACATGCACTCGCGCGCAGAAGCTTAAAACGTCCGGTCGAAAATCACTCGCACTCGCCCGTGCCCTTATCCTCGAAGAAAACACGTGAAATGAAACAGAACGCCGGGCCTGCGCCTCTCGTCCTCTGACGTTTTTCAGTTCAACTTTATTGACTCCAGTTTGGAGAAGGAGACAGGGAAAAAAGCTACATTGCGTAGCTTGACAAGTCCCTGCCTCCCATACAGACTTGGGCAGATTAGTCGGCACTTGCAAAAACAAAAACAAGAAAAGAATACATACAGAACATTATACAGCTTTTGATATGCTGAACAGCACAGAACTTTTAAAATATTATTTTTCGTTAAAATACAATTGTCTAATTTGGTTATTTGACATATTTTATATGTGAATTTTGTTTTTTATGAGTTCATTAATGGTAGACGGTACAGTATACTGGAGCATTTGAAATCCGTAATTTGTTCTGGGATGCGGCACTCTCCAGTGCTCTGGACTACGCGTATGATAAAACGAAGAGTTTTCTTCCAGCGAAGCTAAGGAAAGGAATGATTTGCTATTATAATGAATACTATCTTTATATTTCTTTATTAATGTCTGTGTATATAAGTCAAAAATACAGGTCACTTTAAATTTTGAGAATAAAATATCGGCATGACTACTATATGGTACATTGGCTACTAAACGTAAGATCTTTTTTTGTGCGATATATAATCTGTCTAAGTTTAATTTTGCCGTATTTCCCCTTACAAGTTGGCAGTACTTTAAATGTGAAGCAAACAATGTGTTATATAATATAATCTTGACCCTTTCTGGTAAACAAAAACGATGTTTTTAAATAATACCTGTTATTTTTGATACTTTAGACATAACATGTTCTACGTGTTCGTTCCAACTCATGTATTGGTTAAAGAACACCCCCAGTATTTTTACCGTTGGAACAACTTGTATGGTTGATCTATCTAGCTTAAGTGGTATATCTATTTGCCCGACAGAACTTTTAGGGCGAAATAGAACGGCCTTTGTTTTATTGCTATTGATTTTTAACGAATTTCCCGTTGCACCACGAGCTAAGCACATTGAGAAAACTATTCACTTCAGATGAAATAATATTTATGTCCGTTCCTTGAAAAAATATGCTCGTATCGTCCGCATACGTTATTATCTGGTCATTATGTGAAATATTTATGATGTCGTTAATGTATAGGTTGAATAAAATAGGTCCCAAAACACTTCCTTGTGGTACACCTGCCTGTAGTTGTTTTAGATCAGAGAAGTGGCCATTGAGGTGAATGCACTGAAAACGGAAGCTCAAATAACTTCTTATTAACGCCGCCGCGTTTCCACGAATGCCATAATTGTAAAGTTTACTCATTAATGTGTCATGATTTAACCGATCGAAGGCTTTCGAAAAGTCTAAAAATTCCTACCGTTAGAATTTTATTTTCAAAATTTTTCAGAATTATTTCTTTCATATTCAACAGCGCAAGTTCAGTCGATCACCCTTTTCTGAATCCAAATTGAGAATCTGTAACAACTGAAAATTTTTCACAAAACTGGTTTAATCGAAAATGTATCAGTTTTTCTAAACCCTTTGAAAATATCGGAAGTACAGAAACCGGTCTATAATTTGATAAATCATTTTTATCTCCAGATTTATAAAGTATCGACACTTTTGCTATTTGCATTTTTTTGGGAAACATACCCTGTGATAACGATAGATTAAACAAATGAGTTAAAATAGGTGAAATTTGTGCAATCACATATTTAACGGGCTTTATTTGGATGCCATCAATATCGCAACTTTTACTATTGTTTAGGTTACAAAACACAGAGCTGACCTCATGATCATCCGTAGGATAAAAGAAGATACTTTCATTTATAAATCTCGATACATATAGCAGTGCTTCATTCACTCTACTGCGATCATTACTAAGTTAATAAAATAATCATTAAATTTGTTGGCTAGTTCAGCTCCTCCGAGTTTTTGTCCGTTTATTTTTAATGTTTTAGTTCTAGAAGAGGCTGACGTTTTTCCTAAAATCGAGTTGAGTTTCTTCCATATACTGGCACTGGTACTTAAATTGCTAAACATGTTAAAGTAATAGGTAGATTTTGCTCGTCTAATTAAGTTCGTTACCTCTTACGTCATCACTCTATGGTCACTGACAAGATAAGAAAGGCATGGAGGTGCCTCAGCTTTCCCCACGTACAGCGCGAGCCTCCTGCCTTTGATAAAAAAAACTTCGGCTGTCGTACTTAATCATGCGTAGTTATAACTAGGAACAATTACCAGTCACAAATATTAACCAGGCGGCACGATATGAATCGGGCCCCCGACCGTGCGATCGGCAGCACGACACGTGTGCTCGGTCCCACGAATTCGGCGGAGCTAAATGCTAACCTACACGCCATTGTAGGGCATTGATTCTTAATTTTGGAATTAACGTTTGTCAGTAAAGTGCACTTTCGAGATAACGTTCACCTAGCCGAAGCATCGTTCATTTGGCGGTTCGTTTTCGAGGAATGTTTTCTTCTAAAGTTAATTTAAAGCATTTCATAAGAGACAGCACTTCTCTTGTAACGCCTCGAAAGCAAGTGCCTTCTAACCATCTTTCCTATTTATTCCTGCGCTTTGCTTTAAAAAAGAAGATGGGCTACTGCTCCCTTTCAACCCTTGTCACGGAAGAAGAGAGACCCGTTCCCATCCATGATGTCACCGAATACGTAAAGGAAGCTATGGCCCAAAAAGAAGCGGGATGCCTGACACCCGAAGGCGAAATATTTTTTGTGCACGCGTGCAAACCCTGAACATGCAGGAGGTATCCTCTAACTACTCCTCATCGCAGGAAATCTGCATACACAGCATTTGAATAAAATTTATGAAAAGTATAGGTCACCATACTTTCTCCTTTCATTTTTTCATTTATTTATCTTTATTTGCTCGTGTTTTTATCTGACCAATAAGTTATTTTGTATTTCTAAGTAGGCGGTAGGGTTATGGGCCACGTCAGGCAGAATCAATCGGTCTTTTGCCCTGTTAGTTTAGACCTAGTGTCCAAATACACCAATTCAATTCAATTCAATTCAATAGAATAGCAGTATAGCATGATAGTGGTACAGCTGTACTACTGCCGACATATAGAACTGTCTGGTATGCGCCGTACCAAGTTTCCCAGTAAAATGAATCCGCCTTACAGGTACACTTTACGAGAGAATGAAACCGCTGGCAATGAAACGGAAACTACAATCAACCAGCTAGCGCAGTGAAGCCAGTGACTATTTTTGTTCTTAAAAAAAAGCGACATTTTCACGAATACAATGGATCATGCGTCATCGGACGGTATGGTTTTCTTACAAAATTTGAACATTTTCTGTAGATTTTCAAAGCTCACTGGAACACTGCATTACACTTGGGATATAACAAATTTAGTCCCTAAAGCAAAACTCAAAAGAAATTAAAAACTACCCGTGTTGTAAAAGATGCGTTTACAAACTCTCGCAGACCATTAGGTTCGTGATGAATGTATAATTGTATATGGAACTGATAATGAAGCAATTGCGATGGTTCGCCAAGAGTGCCATTGCATCGGTCATACATATTATTGCAGGCCGAATAATCTGTGTGCTTTTCCTTTTCCTGTTTCTGAAAATGTTTTCGTGTGGCTGATTTTCGATGTGCGTGTCTGCGGTACACGTACGCAAACTGCAGCTGTTTCTTTTTTTTTTTTTTTTATTTGAGCGTCGTGAGCTCACCCAGTCCGTCACCCATATACTGACGGCATTTGTTACCAGGTGCAACACACGTTAAAAGAATTTCCGGCGGAAGCTCCAACGCGGCCGAAAGGTAGTATACGTTTACGTTTCTAAAACAATGCGTTATTGCAATTTTTCTCCGTGAGTAATATTGCAATGCGCGGAATGCATGACACGCTAATTTAGTTCACTGCAGTGTAGCATTGTCGCCGTTTTTTTTGTTTCTTTTCTTAGCAAACGCGATTACATTGCCTGGAAACTGTCCTCCGTTCCACAATGCGGAGAGCGTGTCGTCTGCTTCTTGAGCGGGAGCTGCGGTGACGTCAGAAAGACGCCGAGCTCTGATTGGCTCTGATTGGAGGATAGGGGGTAGACGTTAAGGCAGCTTACTTTGATGCCTACCCACTATCCTTCACTCAGAACCAATCACAGCTCGGCGTCTTTCTGAAGTCAACTCAAACCCCTGCAAAAGAAACAGACGAACTTGCACTCCGCACAGCTTTTGGCTTCAATCAGACGTGCTGTGAAGCGGAGTATGGCCTTGGGCAGTGTCGGAAATGCCCTTTCGAATCACCCTGACTGTTCACTTCACCGCAACTTACTCGGAACGTCATCGATCGGTATTTTCTTTAATCAGTTCAAATAATCAAATGAACAGTCGGTATCATGTTTATAACATCTCGGTGCAAAAAGACTGGACGACTTTCTGCCACCAAAGCTGCATCGCCATTGGGGCGCGATATCACGCCATTGGTCATGTGGTCCGTATAAATCCAGACCTTTGCAAGTTAATTAAAAAAAAAAAAAGAAAACACGAAGGGGGTTAATTAGGTGGTGCATTTGTTTGTAAATGTCAATACGTCAAACTTAATTAAAAGTTACATACAAGGACGACACTTTTTGCTGACCAAAAATGAGCTATCTTTTTTTTTTTTTTTTCTGCCGTTAAAAAAAAAAAAAGAACTATTCTTCTCAGACATATCTAGTCACATAGGCGTAGACTACTGGGGTGCATCGGGGCTCGTGCCCCCCACCCGGGCCATAACCCTCACCGAGACGCTGTTTACGTGGATTACTGTTTCGGAAGCACGGGGACCTGGGTCCCAACCCCACAACTTCGCAGCTGGCACAAGCTGTTTATTTTTCCAATTTGTGCTTGCCGGCGCATGCGCCGTGGTACCGGCGATGAACACACGGCTAGCTGGCACGGTGATTGACATTGACACACTGCGACGAACACAAGGCGATATACATACGCTGTAAAATGTACCCCCTAAAATAATCTACAGGTAATTGCCAGTGTAAAAAACAAATTGCGCGGAAAAGCAACCCCCCCCCCCCAAAAAAAAAAAATGGAAAGTCTACGCCGCTGCCTAGTCAACAAAAAAAAAAAAAAAAAAAAAAAAAAAAACGAAGAGGAAAAACGAGAAAAGAAAATGGGAAGGACGAAGAGTTGAAATCAGCCCTAGCTCCTCTAGTCCTGCTCCGCAAAATGCTAGAAGCTTAAAAGGTAAAGTTAAGGAAGAGCTCTTTACTTGCCGCTGTTAGTGAGGGATTTATAAAGTATAAGCCGCATGTAAGCAATTTGGCAAGCGACGAAGACCCACTTCGCTGTCGCTCAGTCAGTCGCGCGACAAGGCAAACCGCATGAAGCCGACGGTAAGAAGCGACCAAGGCGATAAGTGACGCTTTCTAGGAATCCAAAAACCAAGCGGCACGATGTGCGACAGTGAGAATTCTCCGTCGCTCGTCGCTGACTTTCGTCGCTTGTGCCGTTGCTCGCTCGATCCCTTACATGCGGTCAAGCCTTAACTCTGTGGAAATTTAGAAAAAATGAAGTGCGAGCGAACGGATAGCTTTGATTGCTACTCACCGTCCGTGAGAGTTAGAGTTTCTGTACCTTTGAAAAGTAGTGGGGCATTACGGTGCCGGCGACGATCGCTGCAGTACTTTAGCTTGAAGCTCTGGTGTAGCACTGAGCTTGCAGCTCAGGTGTAGTAAACCGCTAGGCATAACCGGTACCGCAAGTTCTATCGTCGTAATTCTCTTCCTGGTTGCTGATCATGACGTTTCTGGAAGGCGATCGAAGTAAGGAAGCTAGAGACACAGATACTCGAAGTATGCCAGTAGGCTTTCATCATAATGTGTTACAAGCTAGAGAAAACTGAAACAATGCAGCGAACCCCGAGCTCAAGGTTTGCTGCACTGAGCTGCAATCCGTGCAGCCTGGTGTCTTCTGGCTACGTGATCTTTCGCTCGGTTAATAAATTCCCCGTGTATATTCGTATGCCGATTTAGGAGTGGGGTATCAGGCTGTCTAAGCCTTCCTCTATAAACTCTGATTGTGCACCCTTTAAAATGTACCAAAGGTTGGGCTCAATGCAAGGAGGTACAGCCAGGATGTAGTTATCAGGTGCGAAAGTTATGTGTCTAGGTTTTGTAGTGTTTAACAGGCAGGGTGTTCAATGTTTACACTCAGTACACAACTGGGTACTTCCCCAAACATCTTATTCCAAGCCTATATTAAGTTATCACCCTGCCTCAATCACGTCAGTCCTCTGTACACATTTGATCGCGTCCTTAACCGCGCGGTATTAACGTTTCTGGAGGAGAATGACATACTAAGCACAGTAAGCAGTCCCAGCATGGTTTTCAGTCAAATCGCAGCTGGAAACTGCGATCAGTAACGGTAACGCGTTCTTATTACATTAAAGGAGCTGTGCAACGATTTTAACGTTGAAAGAATCGGCATCTTCTTTTTTGACATTGTTCATCTTGTCACAAAAGACAGAAAACACACCTCCTTCCTTCGAAATGTTGCAATTCCGCCGCGTAATCGCGAGGCACATCTTAGAATATTCCCCGACCTGCAGCCGCGTGCGGCGGCCATGAGAAACACGCGGCGTGACGTCAATGGGGGATCTTGTAGAAAGATAGCAAGTTGTGCGGACACCTGCTCGATAAAAGGTAACTTTTCTATAAATCTCGTCGTTGCAACATAAATATGAATGCGTCAAAAACCTGGTTATCATGGACAACACTTTTATTATACGGAGTTTTAGTGGCGCCATCTATCCTAGGTCCACAAAATCGCCAGCTTTCTATGCTACCCCGAACAGCCGCCACAAGCTGGAGGGGCAGGGGGACAGGGCCGGGACGGGTATGGCCGGACCCGGATGAGACTTTCCTCCTTTCACCATATTGTTCGCGCGGCGCCCGCCAGCACATGGTCACGCGGTCGCGAGTGGCTGAGCTCTCGCTGCTCACTGATGACTCCAAAGAGAGAACTTTACCGGAACCCCGCGCCTACCCCATCGACGTCACCGCGCACGTGACCCGGAAGACGATGTACGAGTTGAGAGGTGGCAAAAACCTGGATCTTTTTTATTATTTTAAATAAAAACTAGGGTATCCAGGCAAAATCTGTTTTCTGTAGTTCACTTCAGAAGTGTCAGGCATCAACTTCCACAATCATTTAAGCAAAGCCCCGAAGTTGTTGCACAGCTGCTTTAAGGTAACTTGGGTTTGTAACGCGTTCCTTTTATTAGCAAGTAACGAGTAACCTATTTCGTTGCTTTTTTTTCGGTAACGCCCACAACAGTGCTTTCAAATAATGACTCTCGAAGTCGGAGTCGTTGGTGCCGGCATCATCGGGCTAACCACAGCCGTCAGGATCATCGAGAGCGTGGATGAGGTCCGGGTGACCGTCATCGCGGAATCCTTGACGCCTCACACGACGGCCGACGCAGCCATGGGGTACTTTGGAACCTACCTGACCGACGGCATCAGCGACGAGAAACTCAGGTACAGTACATCCCTGAAGCCAAAGACAATGCTCTTGACAGTTCCTCCATCTCCAAACACTTCCGGGGCTCATCAGCCAGTCGTGAAATGATCGGGTCAAGGGACACTGGACTAGATGCATGAGCGACGTCTGATGTAGGGAAAAGATAGCAGTTGCGCATGCTCGAAACGTTTGCGGAGTGCAAGTTCGTCTGCTTCCTTTTTGCAGGGGGTTGTGGTGACGTCCGAAATCCCAACTCTGACAGGCTCTGAAGGATAGTGTGTGGACCTCAAAGCAGCTTGCTTTGAGGTCAACCCCCTATCCTTCTATCAAAGCCTATCAGAGTTGGGATTTCGGACGTCACCACAACCCCCTGCAAAAAGGAAGCAGACGAACTTGCTCTTTGCATTCCACAGCCCCATATATGCAGCAAGATGGCACAGCACAGAAAGGGATTGGAAGACCAATTGCTGAATATCAGTTGCTCTGTTTGACCAATAAATAAGGCGAGTGTTATCGCTCTAGAATGGATATGCAATATTTTGAAGCGATGGTGGGAAAACTGCCTAAGCATCGGAACATATGACTTCGATCGCCCTTCTCATTTGATGGAACTGTTCAGATGATGATCAGTGAATCATGTTGGGTTAATTGTGAGGCAGTACACACTCGAGCACGTCCGACGTTTCTCAAGCCATCAGTAACAATCAGACTTGTGCCTATCTCAAATAGTCTACTCAAGATACTGTATCTCAAATACTTTTTCAAGTATCTTGGTATCTTGCAAATACCTTTGATCGAGAGTATTTGATACTATATTTTAATCACAATTTCGAGTATCTCGTACTCATTATCTCAAATACATTTTTGACATTCCGCCATTTTTCGAGTTTTTCGGTATGAAGTGGTGTGGGCGTGGCACGAGCAAACCTAAACATTCTTTCGAGCAACCAAATCCTCTTGCTAGCTCCGATAAGCTCCGATGACTTAAATTAGGCTCGTGAAAACATCGCATTTGCGCCGATTGTCACTCATATTTTACAGCAAAGTTCGTACAATGAAGGTTTTCCCCTCGCCTTCCCAAAGGCGCCATTTGTTTCCATACAGTTTCCCCCAAAAAAAAATTCTCAAACAAAAGGTGTGGTTTTACGGAAGTAAAGATGCCACCCTGAGTCGCAACGCAGACCGGGAAACGACCTACGACAACAATGTAGACTTAAGTGTCAAGAAAATAACAAATAGAAGAAAATGAGAAGTGAACACAAAAAACAAAAACAAAAAAAAATTGTTTTGCTTTTGTATATTTGACCCCGCTAAGACAAACGTCGAGGTTTTCTTTAGTTTCTTTTTTTTTCTTCAGTCCGTCACGTACTGGTCTCGCGAAAACTGTTGGCAAGCGAATATTGATAAGTTGGGAACAGGGCAGGGAACTAACTAAAAGCTGGATGACCTCTAAAAATCCGAACAAAGCGTCTCGCAACGTTAAGTGCCTTTCTGAACGCAACCTAATAGAAGCAGGTGCGACCACTGCCGTGGCTATTATGTGGGTTCTCTTTGTTTCCCATTCTCTCATATCCGTATCCCAAGTTCGTTTATAGTGAACTGCCCATATAGGGAATATTGCCGCGCGCAGACTTGCAGAAGGTTCTCGTTTATTCTTGCTGCGAACATAACTTCTATCGTTTCTGTTGTTCTAGAAAGTGCGTGTTCATTCTCGCCCCAAGCGCGCTACGCTCGAACCTTCCCCGCCGAATCTTCGAGATAGTGACTCATTCTAGATAAGAGGCCGCCCGCGACCTTGTCGAGTCAGTCTCGCCCCAGCGTTCGACTCTGCTGCCACGCCGACTTCGACGCCCGCGACGCTCTATTATTATCTTTTGTACTCTTTTATTTTTGGCACAAGTTCGCCACATTAAACGTTTATTTCTTCTTGTTTATTTCCTGTTTTCTTTTGGTCACCACCCGTGACATTTTGGTGGAGGTGCGGGGTACCGCATGCCCGTGCAGCGTTCTCCTCCAAGGGACCGCAGTGCAAGTCCGATTCCCGGCTCGGTGAGAAGACCACTCACCGCAGAACCTGAAATTCGGACCAGCCGCCGCACCAAGGGAGAGGATCCTGAGTACGGTTTGCTCCTGGACAAGCCCAAGCCGCAGAAGACGACGATGGCCAACCAGTCGCAAGCCCCCGCCGCTTCTCCCGTCGTCTACATGCCCGTCGCACCGCGGACGGCTGCCCCCTTCCACGGTGAACTCTACGAAGACGTCGAAGACTGGATTGACCAGTATGAACGCGTTGCCCGCCACAATGGCTGGACCGACGAGCAACGCCTGCACAACGTTTACTTCTCGCTTGAGGGAACCGCCAAGCACTGGTACGAGAACCACGAGTCCTCTTTGACGTCGTGGGACATCTTCAAGACCGACCTGAAGGCTACGTTCGTCAACCACCACCGCCGAGAGAGAGCCGAGGACCTACTGCGAACCAGGACCCAGGGCCCCAATGAAAGCGTCACGAGCTTTGTGGAAGACGTGCTCCGCCTGAGCTCCCGCGCCGATCCTCAGGCCACCGAGGGAAAGAAACTGCGCATTTTGATGCGGGGCGTCAAGGACGACATCTTCGGAGGCCTCGTCCGCAACCCGCCGGCAACCGTCGACGCCTTCGTCAGCGAGGCGACAAACATCGAGCGCGCCCTCCAAGCGCGCGCTTCCCACTACCAGCGGCAGCCAAGCGTCACTGCAACCGCGCTGCTTAGCGGTGAAAACGTGCCTGGTACGGACATCCGCGAAATAATCCGGGAGGTTGTCCGGGAGGAACTGCGAAGGTTGCTGCCAACCACCAGCCGTCCGCCAACCATTTCCATCGCCGAGGCTGTCCGAGAAGAAGTGCATCGCGCGCTCCAACCAGACGTTCCCGTCACCAGGGTGGCACCGGAGGAACCGACGTTGAGCTACGCCGCCATGGCCCGACGACCGCCGCAAGCTTCCCGCCAAGCCACGGCGCCACCCCGAAGAGACGCCCCAACGCCGCAGTACCCCCGACGGCCGGAAGATCAGGCGCACGTTCCCCCAGAGCGACCTGCGCCGAGGAAGACAGACGTCTGGAGGACGGCCGACCGACGCCCGCTGTGTTACCACTGCGGGGAAGCTGACCATGTGTACCGCCGATGCCCATACCGACGACTCGGGCTGCGCGGATTCCATCCAAGCGACCCGCGCCCCCGGTATGGCGAACGCCCTCGGGAGATCGACGAGTACCTGCGACGACCCCAGTCCCCCGAGCCTGCGTCACGCCGAGAGTTCCGGTCGCCGTCACCACGACGTCCAGCTTCGCCGATGCACCGACCCCGACGTGAAAGCCTGTCACCCCTCGCTCCACGCCGGGGAAACTAGGCGCGGCAACCCCTGGAGGTGGAGTTGCCGAAGACGACCGACGCCAAGATCCTCCACGAACGTCGGAGGGCCCCCACTCGAACGCTACCGAAGACCGAAACGACGCTCCTGAAACGGTGTCCAACAACCTAAACGTCATCATCGACGGCCACGACGCATCGGCACTCGTGGACACCGGAGCAGACTACTCCGTTTTGAGTGGGAGGCTCTCCCGCCGCCTTCGAAAAGTCACGACGCCGTGGGATGGACCTCAAATACGAACCGCCGGTGGGCACCTCATCACACCAGTCGGGCGATGCACCGCTCGCGTCGAGATCCACGGTGAGACGTGCCCTGTTAAGTTCGTCGTTCTGCAAGACTGTTCGAGGGACGTTATCCTCGGAATGGACTTCCTCTGCGAGTATGGCGCCGTCATCGACCTCGGAGCAAACCGGTTGACGCTGCGAAAGCCTGTTTCACCACCGGAGGAACCCAAAGCGACGTCATCTGCGGTCCGAGTCCTCGCCAGCCACGTGAACTTACCGCCGCGGTCGAGTGTTTTCGTACCCGTCGGGATCACCGAAGATTTCTGCGGCGAAGTTCTGCTCGAAGGAAGCCTCCAGTTGCTTCTGGGAAGAGGAATAGGCGTCGCAAGAGGAGTTGCTGAACTTCAGGATGGCCGCACTGTGGTCCTCGTCACGAACTTCCGAAATGAAGCGCAACACCTCACAAAAGGTGCAGCCGTGGGCCAGGTCGAGGAACTCCAAAACTCCGCCGCTGTCGCCGCCATTACTGACGAATTCTCGCCACCTCAGCAAAACAGTGCGTCGCCAGCGCAGCTCGACATTGACCCTAAACTCCCGGGCCCGAAACGACGACAGTTGATTAACCTTCTCGCCGAATACCGCGACTGCTTTGCCACGTCGTCGAAGGTGCGCCAAACCACCGTTGCGAAGCACCGCATCGTTACCGAGGACGACGCGCGCCCGGTGCATCGATCGCCATACAGAGTCTCCGTTAAAGAAAGGCAGGCGATCCAGGAGCAAGTTCAAGAAATGCTGAACGACGACATAATTCAACCTTCAAACAGTCCTTGGGCCTCTCCAGTCGTACTGGTTAAGAAGAAAGACGGGACGCTTAGGTTCTGTGTAGACTACCGGCAGCTGAACACGGTGACGAAGAAAGACGTCTACCCACTCCCCCGCATCGACGACACTCTAGACCGGCTGCGCCACTCTCGATATTTCTCATCGATGGACCTGAAGAGCGGCTACTGGCAGATCGAAGTCGACGAAAGGGACCGAGAAAAGACAGCCTTCGTCACGCCGGATGGACTGTACGAGTTCAAAGTGATGCCCTTCGGACTGTGCACGGCGCCAGCAACTTTCCAACGTGTCATGGACACCGTACTGGCAGGACTAAAGTGGCAGAGCTGTCTCGTCTACCTCGACGACGTCGTCGTGTTTTCCAGCGACTTCGACGAGCACTTGCGACGACTCCGAGCAGTTCTCCAAGCCATACGGACCGCCGGACTCACCCTGAAGCCGTCAAAGTGTCGGTTCGCTTATGACGAACTGAAGTTCCTCGGCCACGTGGTTAGTAACGAAGGTGTCCGCCCAGACCCCGAGAAGACTCGTGCCGTCGCAGCATT